GCGGGTGAGCGCCCGGGGGGCCATTCCCCACCCCGGCGAGCTCCTCTGCGACTTGCCACCCACCTCCCGACTGATGATGGAAAAGTTTGTAGAGGCCGGAGTTAGAGTGTCCACGGTTCTCGGGTGGGCATTCCGCTCGTGCAAACAATGATGCATCTTCGAGGCTTGGCGCGGAACCCGTCCGAACTGAGCTGTTTTCTTCCCTGTGTGCCCGCTGTTTAAAAAGCAAACACAAACTTTTTGCGCAGCTCCTTGGAGAAGCCGCCGCCTCCCAGCCCACCCATGGCGGATGAGATCGATTTCACTACCGGCGATGCCGGGGCTTCCAGCACGTACCCTATGCAGTGCTCGGCCCTGCGCAAGAACGGCTTCGTGGTGCTCAAGGGACGACCATGCAAAATAGTCGAGATGTCGACTTCCAAAACGGGGAAGCACGGCCATGCCAAGGTGGGTGCCCTTCCAGGTCTGTTTTTGCGTTGAGGTTTGTTTTTTTTTATCATCGATTACATTACAGCACATGAGGCTTCTATACTTATAACTTTGTAATAAGCACTTTTTTTTTTCCTTCCCACAATTACTGGGAGATCTGCTATTACTTTGAATACTGAAAAGTAGCATTTCCTTCTTGGGCCCTTATAACGTTTCATTAATTGGGAATTGAAACTTTCCTAGCGACTTAGATCTTCTTTTTTTTTTAAAAGGTCTGGGAGTGTCTAAGACGTTTGGGACACTTCTTTTTTGATTTTTTACAGAGAGGAAGGGAGAGGGATAGAGAGCTGGAAACATCAATAAGCGAGAAACATCGATCAGCTGCCCCCCGCACACCCCCCACTGGGGATGTGCCCGCAACCAAGGTACATGCCCTTGACCGGAATCGAACCTGGGACCCTTCAGTCCGCAGGCTGACGCTCTGAGCCAAACCGGTCAGGGCTAGATCTTCTAAGTCTTAGAAGATCTGTTCGGTTGACAAATGAGAAAACCTGTTCCAACCTAATCCTAAAACCTGACTTCATATGCCCTCTATTAGTTTAATGACGGGACTGCACATGATTTGGGGCTTGATAGATCATGATACCGTTTAGTTGCTCACTCCTTCTCAATTTTATGTCTACTATCTTTTTTTAAAGACAGTGAAATTAGATGACCTTGGAAGGAGAAAGAATCTGTCATAATCAGCGTTTGATATTGGGCTCTTGTGTATGTAATGAGTGATATACTTGGCAAAGTTTAAACAGGTTTTCTGTTCTCCCTTCTCTGTCAGGTTCACCTTGTTGGAATTGATATTTTCACGGGCAAAAAATATGAAGATATTTGCCCTTCTACTCACAATATGGATGTTCCAAATATTAAGAGAAATGACTATCAAGTAAGTCCTAATTTCCTTTAGAATGCTGCCTGTTTCTTACAGGTGTAAATACCAATTGTAATTTATCAAAAACCAGGAATAGTTTTGGAGGTTTTTCTAACGAATTATTAGGCACCATTTATATTAGAAATTGGAGAGATCGTGCCATTTAACAGTTATACCTTATCTAGAATTATTGCTAGTTTGCTATTTTAACATTCTTGCATTTTTAAAAAGTTGAAAATTTCTTGCTTCTCAGACTAGGTGATTGTATATTGTGACTGAGTAGGTTTAATTTTTAGTAAAATTACTGTTCTATTTGTAAAATATTTCAAATTTATGTAACTCCCTCCCAGATATCTTATTTCTTTTCACTGATCAGACCTAAGATTTTTCAAGAAATTATTGGAATTCATGTTTCACCAACCAACTTTGTGTATTAATGAAATGTGAGTCAGAATTTGGTATTCTTAAATAGGGAAATAAGTTGACATCCTTAAATATAAAGGATTTCTTCACCATAATCACTGAATATGGTGAAGAAAATACAAAAATAATAGCTGTTTTATTTATATTCAGTGACCATGCTGTGACCTTTTGTTAAATTACAGGTATAAACTTCAAGTTTTAGTTCCAATTATACATTTGGATAGGTCAAGTTTAATGATAGCATTTGTTGTTTGGAGTATTGCTAGTAACCAAACCACTGACCTCATAGGATGTGGAAGCTCAGATTAATCATAACTAAAGTCTTTCTTGGAAGTCTTCAATTTCTGTTATCAAGCATACCATATATAGAACTCTTTTCTGTTCATTTTACATAGTGAGGAATAAAAGTTCACACTGTGACACTTAGATTTGTTTTATCCAGTTTAAACTGCTTTCTTTCTATACCTTTTATTGTATTGCATGATTTTTGTTGTTGTGAGGATATTTTTCCATTGATATTTAAAGAGAGTGGAAGGGAGGAGGAGAGACACAGAAAGAAACATCAATGTGAGAGAGAGACATCGATTGGTTGCCTCCTGCAGGCACCTCAGCCAGGCCTGCAACCAAGGTATGTGCCCTTGACTAGAATTGAACTCGAGACCCTTTAGTTCTTGAGCTGATGCTCTATCCACTGAGCCAAACTGGCTAGGGCATTGTATTGTATAATTTTAAAGAATGTTACCATCAACTGCAATTACCCAATGATTTCCTTTTACTCTTTGTCCACATGTCAACATATTTTTACATGGTTTGAATCTAGTAAGCAGTTTTATATTTCCTTTTCCCACTTATCTATAGGTAGCTTCAGATGCTTTGTAGAATTTTGAATTGTCTTAGTATAATAATAGTAAATGTTTTTTGATGTCGTTTCTTTATTTTTTTAGTCAGGTAGGCCTGGATTTGGATCCAGTACTGCTTTCTAACTGAATGACCTTGGATAAATTATGAAACCTCTCTGAGCCTTAGTCTTCCCATCTACAGGAGAGGGATAATGTGAAGGTTAAATTAGAAATTGTATTCCATGATTACCTCCCAAGAGATACACACCCAAAAGTAGTTCTTTTCTGCTCTCCCTTTTCCTATATACAAATTTCATGTAACCATTCCATTATTCTTAAAGCACCTAATTTAGACATATGTAATAGGTGCTCAATAAACGTTTGTTAAATGCATATCTAATTATTCATTGAGATGAGGATAGTGCCAACTAAGGCTAAGCCTAGGGTTTTGCCAACAGTGGATTTCAGTTTGTATCTTTAACATGTGAGTGCTTAGGTTATTTGATATTCATTATATTCATTACTATGCATTCAACATAGAAGGTTTTTGCCTTTGAGTAGTTCAGAAAGATGGCATCAGTAGTTCAGATAATTGCTACTGTGATGAAAAGAACCAGTCATTGATTGGAACTCAAGATTTAACATCAAGGAAAAATTTGGTGTGTGTCTTATTTTGGGCTATAGCAGGAGCCACACTAGGATGAGGGGAATGAGGTGAGTGAGTCCCTTCCCTAGAGCACAAAATTTAAATAAAGATAGGACAAGCAACAATGTCAAGCCACACTGGAGCCTAAGGCAAAAGGTAAAATCACTAATTCTGATTTTTTTTTTTAATTTTGATATTTTGTTCATCATGGAATTTTTGTATTCTAATTTATAAAAACACCGCGTTGCCCAACCGGCATGGCTCAGTGGTTGAGCGTCGATCACGGTTCGATTCCTGGTCAGGGCACATGCCGGGTTGCAGGCTGGATCCCCATTGTGGGGTATGCAGGAGGCAGTCGATCAACGATACTCTCATCATTGGTGTATCTATCTCTCTTCCTCTCCCTTCCTCTCTGAAATCAATAAAAATATATTTTCAAAAACACCACATTAGCCCAGCCAGCGTAGCTCAGTGGTTGAGCATTGACCTATGAACCAGAAGGTTACGGTTCAATTCCCAGTCAAGGCACGTGCCCTGGTTGCACGCTTGACCCTACTGGAGGTCGTGCAGGGGGCAGCCAATCAATGTTTCTCTTTCCTCATTGATATTTCTATCTCTATCTCTCCCTTCCTCTCCGAAATCAATAACAATATATTTAAAAGACAAACCAAAAAGCCACCACATTAAAATATTTATCTGATGACTGATGTTTCTTTTTGGCACCACCTTAAATTTTGCACCCAAGACAAGTGCCTCACTTGCCTCACTCTAGTCCTGGCCTTTGGTATGTAGCTTGGATGAGAGAATGACTCAAGCCAGACAAATCCTTGCTTTGGCACTTCCTGTGTGACATGGGCTAAGAATAATGAACTCCTCGTGGGATTGCTGTGAAGTTTAATTAGTCAATACTTAGGATAGTGCCTTGCAGAATACATACTCAGTGATCACATCTTTATCAAGTCACTGTAAAATATTTCTTTTCATTTAAAAAAAATTAGCTCTGTAAGCCTTTCCAGTTATAGTTTTTGTACTATCCAAGTGCCTTGATTAAATGTCTGCTTTTATTATTTGGCTACATGTAGTCCTTTATATTTGCTTTATTTGGTATTTCAAGTGGAATTTGGCAGTCAGTTAAAGTGAAATATATATGTGTGTGTATATATATTCATTATAATAATTAAAAAGTAAACCTTTGTTTAGGAAAAGAAATGTATGAATATTTACAATTTTAACTTTATATATTTTAAAATAAGTTCAGAATGAAAGAATAATTGTTTCCTGAATTTTCTGTCATTTATTTTTTTTTTTAGCCATAGCACTCTATAAAGAGAAACTTCCCTTCATCAATTTTTGTTGTTTGTTTACCCTATGGTACAGTATATAATAGGAAAGGCAGTATAAATGCTTGGCTCTTTTCCTTTAATTACCGGTTTTCAAAACGAGTTGGTTCCGTAGTATTCACTGAATATGCTCAATCAAATGTGTTTTTCACTATGAGCTTTAAACATACAGTGGGGCCTTGACTTACGAGTGTCCCGACTAACGAGTTTTTTGATATACCAGCTGTCTCTCAGCCAATTTTTTGCATTGAGTAGACAGAGTAATTTGAGTTAACTCATAAGTCAAGGCCCCACTGTATTTGTATTTCAATTCATTGTAGTTATTATCCTTATCAGTTCTCAGACTATCCTATCTTTGGCCTGGGGGCTCTTATTCATGTAAGCTTCTGAGAGTCCCTTTAATATGGGCCTAGTGGTCAAGTTTTCTGACCCTGTTCTCTCCCATCTGCCTGCTTGCTAATAACAAATAATTATATACTCTTTCTACCCCCCTCCAAAAAATTGTTCAAAACATTTTATATTTATCACTGAGTAGATTTGTTTAAAGACGAAAGATCAGAAGGAAATATTTAGAATTGACTTATAACTGCCTCCTCACTATCCTTCCTTCTAACTCTATAGTATCAGAGAGGACTTTGAGAGAAGGTGGGGGAAAATTGCACAAAAATATGCTTAAAACTCAACATGACACCCTTATCTTTTTGTTGTTGTTACTGCAATTTTTTTAAAAAAAGGAAAAATTCTATCTTTAGAGTGGAAAAATCTGGCGGCTACTCCTTTAGCCAAGTGATCAAAGTTAATCTCACAAGTAATAGCACAAATTGAAATCATCTGCCTTCTGATGTGATCTTCTGAGGACACATCACTCATGTAGTATTTATTCCTTCCAAAAATGCATTACCTGAATCATGAGGAAACAAACCCAAAATGAGGAACATTCTATAATACAGTGAATCTGTGCTCTCCAAAAACATCAGTGTCAGAAAGAGTATGTCCTTGTTCTTAGGAGAAATACAGTGAAGTATTTATTGCTAAAGAGTCCTGTGTGAAACATATTTTCAGATGGTTGAGTAAAAGTAAGAAAAGAATAGGAACGTATGCTATTTATTTTATATACTCTCTATATATATACAGAGAAAAATGAATGCATGGTTAAATGTTAACAATGGATGAATTTAGGTAAAAGATAATGCAATTTTCTAACTTTTCTGTATATCTAAAAAAATTTTAGTCCAGCTGGTGTGGCTCAGTGGTTGAGCATTGACCTATGAACCTATGATGGCTAGATTCCTGGTTAGGGCACACCCAGAACAGCTGAAGGATGTTTCTCTCTCATTGATATTTCTATCTCTCTCTCCTTCTCCTTTCTTCTCTCTGAAATCAATAAAAATATATTTTTAAAAAATTAAATAACTTATATAAGAAAGATAAAATAATTCATTTTCATTATTTAATTTTATTTTTTCTATAGCTGTTTTCTTAAAGTTTTAATTACATTTCATAAAGCAATTTATTTTAATAAGATATTTAATATATAAATACATTTTTACATTTTGTTTTGTGTTTATACATTTTTATATTTGAAATGCTTTATTTTTCATCCTAGTATTTTATGAATTCTTGGCAAAAAATAAAGTACAACCATTATATAAATAAATATCAAAATGCCAGTATTATTATTAGGCTTCTGTATTTCAGTCACTAATGGCAGTGGGAATCTTTAAATCCTGAAATCGATAGGTTCCACTTCAGGGAATTGCTAAAAGAACAAAAATAAAAAAGATCTTCCTTGTAAGCCTGTAATTAATTGTTTAAAAATTATACTTCTACCTCAACCTCCTATTGCCTGCTCCTCTGTCAACCACCTCACAAATGTTTGAGGGACATAAAGATTAATTAAAAGTGTTTGTGGTTGCTTTGGAAGATATTTATTTTTTTGTTTTTGAGATTTTAGACGTGTAAAACTGCTGTGGTCCTTGGGGTTAGTGTAAAGTCATAGCCAGCTTTGCTAGTGCCATAGAGGAGCGGTTTGAAACTCTACCCCTACAGTGTGATGTGTTATATCATAGTAGTGAAAGGGGTCCACGGCCATGTCTTTAACTCCTTCTGTGTATGTCAATGTTAACATCTAGTATTCAGGGTGTTTGCCTTCTATAAATCCTGTTAGAGTCTAGGCCAGGGGTGGGCAAACTTTTTGACTCGAGGGCCACAATGGGTTCTTAAACTGGACCGGAGGGCCGGAACAAAAGCATGGATGGAGTGTTTGTGTGAACTAATATAAATTCAAAGTAAACATCATTACATCAAAGGGTTCGGTCTTTTTTTTTTTTTAGTTTTATTCATTTCAAACGGGCCGGATCCGGCCCACGGGCCGTAGTTTGCCCAGGGCTGGTCTAGGCACACTGATGGTATACATGCTTTTAGAATAATGAATACAGCCTGGCTGTTTCCTCATGCCTATAATAAAAGAAATTTATATCAAAACTGTGGCTTCTTGCAAATTAGGTTGATACCTGAGTTTGTTTCATTTTGTCATCAACAGCCAGTGTTTGTCTTTTTTTAAAAAAAAATCTGGTGGTGTTAAGCAGTGAGTTGGAGACTAAAATTTTTCCACTTTGTTCATAATCAAACTAAAATACACATTGTTTGTAATTGTGAAAAACTAACCTTCATGCCCATCAATGGGAAAATGATTAAATCAGTTACAGTGTATCTATGCAGTTGTAAAGTTAAAGGGACTAAGGTAGGTCCATATTTTCCAATTTGGAAAGAGTTCTAAGACGTGTTATTAAGTGAAAATAACTTGCTGAAAAATACTTGTACTATTTATGTTTCTTTAAATAATTATAGTGTGCACGTAAATGTAAATGCTTCAGGATACATTATAAAGAAGCCTAAACTATTTAATAATGCAGAGACTTGGGTGCAGGGGAAGTGCAGGGAGGAGTGAATTTACACTTTTAGTCCATACATATTTTATAGTTTTATGTGTCTAACATTTTTTAAGCATGAAGAATATATTAATGTATTACTGTGTACTTATACTAATTGATGTGGATTGCAACTTAACTATGTAAATATTACAAAGGAGTGGATATAATCTAATTGGTGCAAATAAAATTCCTTTCAATAGCTGATATGCATTCAGGATGGTTACCTTTCCTTGCTGACAGAAACTGGTGAAGTTCGTGAGGATCTAAAGCTGCCAGAAGGTGAACTAGGCAAAGAAATAGAAGGAAAATACAATGCAGGTGAAGATGTACAGGTAAAGACCTATGAGAGGATTATTTTTTAAAACTATTTTATAAAAATTTGGCTTCATCTAGTTTGCATAAAATACTTACATGAAGGTAGTTTTTAAATACTGCCAAAATGTTGAAAATGATGTCTATAAAGCAGTTTTCCTATAATATCCTTAAAGACCCATTACCAAAGAAAGTATCAGAGTTAAATTTTTTGCTACATAGACATTGTCCCCCTCAAATTTGTGTTGAAGGTCAATATCTGAGGTGTTTTTTTTAGTATGAGAAAGAATGTTATGGAAATACATAACATCCAGTAAGTATTGGAACATTTATAGCTCTTATTCTACCTGTTCCCTGGAAGTTGTCTAAAAACCACAATTTGAAAAATTTCTCTTTGGGAACTATAAAGAAAGGAGATTATTTGATCTTGGGATACCTCTTTCCAAAGTTCATATGTATAAAATATCCACGAATATACAGTATATAATGAATTAACTATATCTTACATATGTCTTGCCTTCTGAACAACTTTTGCTTGCATTTTTCCTCCTAGGTGTCTGTCATGTGTGCAATGAGTGAAGAATATGCTGTAGCCATAAAGCCCTGCAAATAAATGGGAGCATCAGGCATGACAAACTGTTTAGGTCTGGATCAGCTACAGATCTCAAGTTTGGTTCTAAGTTGTCACCAAAGCTATGGCCTTCAGAAGCAACCTCATTTATCTTTTAATTGTCTTGAAATTGTGCTGAGTTAGTTTTGCACGCAATTAGTAATTTAAAAAAATAATCACGATGTATAATTCTTTTTTTTTTTGTAGGTATTTTTTATAACATTCCTGTGGTTGTCAGTATGTGAGTCCAAGAAACAGACAAGGTAGCTTCCACAGATGTGATTTGAGTATATCATTCGTGAATTTTAGTTAAGTGATAAATAAACCAGGGTTTTAAATCAAACAATGTAGCATCCAGTGCTATCGAAGTACCACATTTAAGTTGAATTGTTCTGTATTAATGTCACACCTAACATATAGAGTAAGTAGATAATGGATTGGAATTGTCACAGTTTCAGCCGATGTGTGGCAAGCACAATTCTTAAACAAAAATCATGTTATCAGAAAGTGTCAGTGCAGTACCCTGTATTACCTTGGTTTTACTGTTCTCTGCCAAATTGTTGGCCGACTTAATATAACCTTATATATGGTGATTTTTATACCTGCTGTGGTTGACAGAGAGGCAGTAAACTGTTGGGTAACTATTAAAAAATCATATTGTAAAGAAGACACAGGGACAGTGGCAAAATGAGTTCGTTAAAGCTATAGTTTTTTATTTGAGGCCTTTGTAATCAGAAAGTTTCTAGTTGTACGTTTGCTTTCAGCTTTTGGTCTCTCTCTCTCTCTCTCTCTCTCTCTCTCTCTCTCTCTCTCTCTTTCTCTTTCTCTATTTAAAGCAGTGACTTGCTTTGCAAGGTACTATGCAGTGCTTTTAATTATGTTGATAAATATTATTTTAGTAGTCATTCCTTTCCAAGCATTTGTAAGTAGACTTTTTTAACATCAAAATATTTATGTCATCTAAAAAATATGTATGTATTTATGTCAGACAAAGACTGGAAATTCTAACTTCAAATTGAAACAGTTGTTAAATTTATGTACACTTTTTTCTAGAATGAAATGAATTATGGAAGAAAAGTTACTTTATGTGATAATCATTAAGAAGTACTTATATGTATTTTTTCTGATTGTCACGTGACTTAATTCAGTTACTCATGTAGCTAGGAAGAAATTCTTTAAAACTGAATTATTTTAAAAAGTGTTTTAGGTGACTGCTACATTTCTGTACACACACACCTTATTTCCAGAATTCTAAACATTGTCATAGGGTTTGTGAGGACCTTTGACTCAGTAACAACGATGATATTGGAGTGAAACTCAGAACAAAATTACTGTTTCAGAATACCTCCATTCTCTATGACTGATTATGAGACCTCTCCCATCATGCCTCGACTTACACAAGGCCTTTATTCCTATCCCTATCATCTAGAAGAAAATATGTGATACTGCAACTAATCTAATCAGTGGCTGGAAATAGCATTAAAAACAGAAGATCCCAAAGTTTTGTTGCTTAATTTGCTCATACTTTTAAATCTTGTTAGCCTCAGCAAACCCATTTGGAGAAGAAGCAAGATACTTTAAAGAAATGCAAAGAGAATTCTAAAGCACAAGAAATATTGAGGTTGCAATTAATCATTTTTAGTGCAGCATTTTAACTTTTGCCCATCTCAAGCACAATTAGGAATTAGACTAAATTCTTTCCAATATTCCATTTTAGTATCTACTACATACTACTCTTGTTTTTTAGTATTTTATAATGTGTATCTTATTTGCTACTGGTTGACATTATTACCCACAGGAATTCTAGAAAGTTATCCAGCTGTGCTGCTTGCTGGTCATGCATATGACCCCAGTTAACCATACTAGTGTTCTGGTTTGTATTAATTCTGGGTCAGCATGCCTTTGTTCTTCCTAACTTGTCAAACTTCACATAAATATATTTTCAATTGCAAGGTAAGTGTATGTAAATTATAATAATGCATCTCTATCTTCAGACTTTGAATGGCAAAAGCTATTTATGCACAAATAATTCATTTTAAGTACTATAAAGAAGTATAAATACTTTTCTGACATGTAAGTATAGATTTTAAAGATATGGGACTATTTATTTTCACATAAGTCAATATGTTTCTCTAGAACAAAATATTTCATTTAGTAAAGCTTTGTAAATTGTATTAAAAAGAAGCAAGGAAACATTTTTTAACATAAAACAGAAGTGACTTCATTCTTTTTTGACATCAGAGATGTTCAAAGTTGATTCCTAGTATTTGTACTTTTTTGCAACAAATGGTAAATATCACAAGTTACCATGTGTGAAATGTAGACTGTCATGTTGATAAGGTTCTACAGTGATACACCATGTTTGTCTTCAGGCATTTCACCAGTATATACACAACAGCAATTTTCGACCTTGTATCATCTCATGGCACACATAAACTAATTGCTAAAATTCTGCGGCACACCAAAAAATATATTTTTTGCTGACCTGGTTTTTAAAAAAAAAGTATAATTTTGATTCACAACCGACAACTATTGTTGTGTTGGCTGTTGTCATTTTTTTTCATTTGACAATCTAAGGGAAAAGAGGTCAGTGCCCCTGACCAAATAGTCGAGTATTGCATGTTTTAAAAATTCTTGTGACACACTGGTTGAAGATCGCTGATATACAATATTAACAAGTGGAATATGTGTTTCTTTCTAGAACATTTTCTTTGTACTGTGAAGGCTTTGTTATACCTTATTTGCTATAAAGTTGTATACCCTCTGAAATAGATCAAATCTTTTCTACTTTGACTTAGCATTCGCAGCATAATTATGATGTTTCTTTCCTGCTCCCTTCCAAGGGCTGTCAGTCACTTGAAATTGTTGCTAACCACGCTCTTGAATCAGTTTCCACTGATGATACAAAATTCCTTACCAATGCTTTATAACAGTTACCAAAACTCTGCAGCAGCCAGAGCATGATATATCATTAATAGATGCTGCAATAAAATGTTTAGTCTATAAAATTAGGGACACAAGTGTTTCATTATTATAGCACAATGTGTGTGCATGTGCACACACAGCTTTGTATGTTTGTTTTTTTAACAAAGTCTTTCCAATTCTTAAAAGTACTGTAGTATGGTAGTGCCTCAAATGTTGGTAATTTTTTTTTTTAATTTACGACTTTTTCAGAATTTGTTTTTGTACTTTTAAGGTTTCTCAATTAGGTTATTTCTAGTTGAGCTGTAATTTGAATGCATTGTTCTCAGGGCTGTTTGTGCTAAGAGTTCAAGTTTCATTATTTTAAAGATAACTGCCTAAAATATATTACAGAATTTTCCCAAATTGCAATACATACAAATAAAAAAATCCTTAATATCAACATACTTAAACTACATGCTAAGTATTCAAGAAAAAATGGGGATATATACACTTTTTTGTTCATCTTAGAATACAGTTTGATAGTCTTATCTTAGAACCCTATCCTTAATGATATATCTGAAAACATTTCTTTAGCATGGACCCCAAAGGTAGTTTCAGTCAAACATTGATGTAGTTAGTGGTTCTCAAACATATTTAGGGACAACAGATAAAAATTCACAACGCTTGTTTAGGTACACGTTAAAATGTTTGCATACTGAATTCTATTATATGAACTAGGAACAGATTTACTAGGAGAAAATATGGCTCTTAAGAAGTGTAAGAGCAAACTACAAGTATATTTCCATAATTAGTACATTAAACTTCCAATGGCTTAAAATTTTCTATCATTTAGGTGTAATATTTCACAGTTTTCAAGACTTTTTTCTCCTAGCATTCAGACAAGTAGTAGGCAACAAAGCCTGAAAGAAAATTTATTGTGGAAAACTTTTAAATTGAGAAAATGCAATTTATTACCTTTAATCTATTAAATTTTTGCTTTCTGAATTGGGTATCATTATTTGATTTTAGCAGGGAACATTTGGATTTAGCTTACGGAACACAGATGTTCTGTGGGAAGGAACATGACTTGAAGTTGTTATATAATTTAATATTTTTCCATTAGATAAATATCTGAACATCAATTTAACCACCAAGTGAAGTCAAGTGCCTGAAAAGTGCTGTATACATCTAATTCGTACATTTTCCTTCTGTGAATGATGCATCTAATAGCAATGCATATCAGGCTTCCACCTGCTAGAAACACACTTAGTGCCAAACTTGATCATCCACCACTATTCCTCTCCTTAGAACAGGTTGAAACCTATTTACAATTGAAAGAAATGTTCTTTTATTTATATGAAGTCCCTAAAACTATTTCTTAGTGTTGGTAGACAGGTTTGTTTTAGTTCAAGATTGCACTTTTAAAAAACTCTGGATACTAAACTGTGTTCAGTGCTGACTACACAGCTTGTCATAAGTCATAGTTGTGATCTTTCTTGAGAGGAATTCTTTATTGTTAATATCTACTACATATAAGCATTCATCCTTGTTACAAAGTGTAATGCAAATTACTGATTCTACACTAGTATAATGAAAATGACTAGCTCTCTACTCTATGTACTGTTGTCCTCCTCTCCAAATAGGAGATAGTTGAAATAGTATTGTCTAATCTAATGGCACTTTATTAGTAATACATTTTATTTGTCTTAGGAGTAGGAGAACTCTTGTTTTTACTCATGTTTTAGCTAAAACTTTAAAATTGTAAGAAATGTAGAATGGGCATTTTACATTTCAAAAAGGGTAAAATTTAAATGTTAAGTCTTTGGTTATACTAAAATAACTGTTGAAATTCTTTAAAATGTAGATGATAAACTTATCAATTATAATTCTTTGTTACATTAAAATATATTTGTTAACTTCATCGGTTATATTAAATAAAAATAAAGTTAACAGCTTGCACTATTCTTGTATATATACATTTCTAAAAGAAATTTCATACTAGAAAATTGTGTGAATTAATGTGTATATCACTGTTAAAAGAAAGTCTAACTTTTGTATTTATTGTGTTTTTATATTCTAGGTTCTTACTAGAGAGTGGTCCAGATTTATGGCCTGAATGTTAATTTCTAAATTTTAGTTCCAGATTTAGGTACAATGTTTTTATTTTTAAATTTTTAGTAGCTTTTAAAATATGTAGATAGCCACATGGTTCAGAATTCTACAGGTATGAAATTCTACAGGTATATCATCTTCATCTTCCTGTGCATTCTTCCAGACATGAATGCAAGACAGGTTAATGGTCCCTCCCCTACCCCTGACCTCCCAAGGTCTGAGCTGTTACTTCCCTGCCAGGGTTGCTATTCTTTTTCTACAGTAATATGAATGGTGTGATGAGACCCTGAAGCAGACCCTTCACTGTTCTTCCAATCCTCACCATGTCTAATCAACACCATCGAGACAGAGTCATCCCTAGATGGCTCAGCAGTTTATTCCTTTTCTACACGGTATCATTCTAGATTAGACCATCTCTCTCACTCCCTGACATGTGAGCCATGCCGAGACTACTATGGCAATTGTCACCTTATATCCATGATATCACTGACATCACAACCCTTCAGGGCCAGCAAGCATAAGGCAGAAAAAGGAGCACCAGAGTCTTTGACCCTCCAACCCTACTGTGTATTGCCACTTGCAAATACCAGTAGCTCTGTTTCCCAGAGGTAGGCATGGGATGGGGATGGGAGGAGCGAAAAGGGGCTAATTGTGTTATATATCAGCCCATCTGAGTATTCTCCCCCAGCCCCAACCTATCCAAATAGAGGGTGTCCTGTGAAATTGCCACATTTACTAGTATAACCATACTGTCTGCCTAACATGTGTTCCATTGCTAACTTAAAATATCTATTCCCACAATACATTCGGCAGTTTACAACTACAGGGTGTATATTGGTTCAGAAGGATCCACCCATAAGGTTATTATCAATCCACTAGAGGCCCGATGCAGCTTTGTCCAAAAGGAAGGATGTCCGGAAGGACGTCTGGTCTAATTAGCATATTATGCTTTTATTATAGACTAGTGGCCTGGTGCATGAAATTCGTGCACAGGGGAGGGGGGGTGTCCCTCAGCCCAGCCTGCACCCTCTTCAATCTGGGATCCCTCTCACAATCCAGGACCACTGGCTCCTAACTGCTCACCTGCCTGCCTGCCTAATTGCCACCTGCTCAACTGCCCCCGCTGCTGGCCTGCTCACCCCCAACTGCTCTCCCCTCCTGGCCTGTTTGCCCCCACCTGCCTGATTGCCCCCAACTGCCCTTCCCTCCTGGCCTGATCACCCCTAACCACCTCTGCCTTAGCCCCACCGCCATGGCTTTGTCCGGAAGGACATCCAGGTGGTCTCCCGAAAGGTCTCCTGGTCTAATTAGCATATTACCCTTTTATTAGTATAGATTGTCCAATTTGAGAGTTATTTCTAAATATAGTCAAATAATTTTTGGCCACCAAGTGGGCACTTCCTAACATCACAATGATTGTGTCCCAGTGTTTAGGGGGCCAAAAAGGCTTGCAGCCTCAGTTGCCATCAGATCCCCCACACAGATTCTAATTGGAAGAATGGAGGTCCATCTACCTAACATTGATAGTGTGTCTGCCCTTTTTTGTTCACAATTATGTGTGTGAGTTTCACTTAAATTATCACTAATTCATTTTAATTGCTGTGGAA